AAAAAAAAAAAAAAAATCACACAGAAACAATGAAAGTAGTGCATGTGCTTGCAACTGCAACACCAAGCTGTAATCACAGGAACATCATAACACATTTTAGCGTTTCGTTGCATTAGCATGTAGCAGCAAATACGGACACCCAATTCTTCTCACGGCTGATTCGGACCAGCTGGACGCGACGATTGGCTTCTTGAAGTTGTTTCCTGGCAGGCACACGTTTTCCCAGTTATCACTTCCAGCTTTTTTTCCGCCTGTTATGGCAGTCTGCATTGTCCCAACAAGGCAATTGTTTCTGCGATATGGCCGGTTGTTCTAGCAGTCTTCCAGCTGCCAAATAATGACGCCGCTGTTCAATAAAAAGCACTGGCTTAGTCTATCTCTTGGCTATTCCAGTAACTTCTCAATCAATTTCTCAGCATTTAAGCAAATTCCGTTTCGGAAACTTGGCACTCTAGTATGAGTAATGGCATAAGTAGCAGCATTTGTCAAGTCGATCCGTGCACAAATCAAGCTGAACAAATATTTCACTTCGGTCCAAGTTAATCTGCTCAGTTTGTTTTTACGCAGTGGAAGCTTTTCCGTTTGAATCCCAAAACAGGGTGTTGATGAACGAAAACCTTTTCAACTGCTCGACTTCGTAAGTTCGATTACACGCTTGCTTCTGTAGATGTGGATTCCAATATGAATTGCCCAACAATAGTTGACCGCTGCTAGTGATGTTCACCCATGCGGGATGCAGCCAAACACCTGCATCATTTTCCACTACGCCCCGCATTATTTTGTCGCCTGCCCATTTCTTCAGCAGCATTCGGCGATTTCCAGATACCGGCTCAAAGAACGCATTTTCGATTCTGAAGGGCGCATCTGAAGGACGCAAACAAGGAACGCATTTTCTTTTCTCACTTTCACTCAGACAAAACAGCGTTCCAAAAGTAACAGAACCGGAGCTCCGCGCCATTGCAAACCAACTTCAACGAGGTCGTAAGCACAGCAGCCAGCCATATGCCCTCGATCCGCAGACCCCGAGTGATTCCGAAAAGTCCATTGAGCGAGCTAGCAGATTGCTCGGCCGCCTGCGAACGGTCCCGGAAAAACAATGCCAGAGGGCCCTGTCAGATTTCCTTTTATAGGATTGTCAGGCAGTGGATATTTCTTGCATATTGGTCTTCACTGCGCAGGAATGAGCGGTCGTGCTTGCTGGTTAGATCGTAAAAGCGCTGTTCATTTTAGTCAGCCACCACACTAGTGATCGGTTGAGTCGCCGAAGTCGACCGCATTCCTTAGCTGCCGGTGGCTTGCTACGTTTTCACAGATGTGAAAGGCAAAGAAATGATGGATGGGGCTATGAGCAAGCTATGTTCTAACTTTTATCTGTGTCAGTGGTACGGGAAATCTGTATCGGAACCTCATTCGACGACCGCCACTTTTGAATTGTAAGCCTCGGCCTGTAGGTTGTTAATGTATTACACTCGCTTTTTTTCTTTTAGACACTGGCTGAGTTTTTTGGGCGCTTAACTATCTTGTTTTGACAAAATTATTTAAAAAGGGATTGTGGCTACAACAATTTTTGTGTGTTCCCCAAGGGGTAAGTCAGGAAAAGCGAGGAATGGGGTCGAATTGACGGGCGAAGTACTTTAATAGCAGTCATCCATCGGCTTTGAAAAATATTTTTTGATGAATAACAACATAAAGGCAAAATCAACAAACGAAAGCAGGACGAACGCAAGCAGCAAAGAAGTGAGAACGAATATTCCTTGAAGTATCATAGGATCATTAGGTTTTCTCTCAAACCAGCGCGATGCAGAATATCTTTGCGCGAGCGCGAAAAGTTAAATCCGATGAACGAGTCAAGTAGCTCGCTTTGCTTGGAGCTAGTAAACGTTTCGAACTACTGAGCAGTATTCAAGAAAGGGAAATGACCACTCGAATGGTTGCATGGGAGATAATGTGTTTGTAAATGAAGGCAGCGGGTGGAATAAATTTATGCAAAGCAGGACAGAAGGCCGAAGTATAACTGTACCTGATATATGAGTGCGCTGTAGTGACATTGGTGTTTTATTTCGAAAGGTTGGATAATTTTAGCAATCAAAGTTGACGCTTTCTTTGATTCAATCAAATATTTTCAAATTTCTGCAGCTTTGTTTTTACTTTTTAAGAGCAACAGACTTGTTGCGTCAAAGTTAAGTGAGCTGTCTGGGTACGTTTCTTGCATCTTCCTGAGCACATATCACAATTTCGGATCTTTGGAAGTTAGGAAGCTCAAACTTTGCATGAAAAATTCCTACCGTATGCGTGCACTTGGAAATAAAATCAATTCTCAGGTTGTTACGTACACCAACTCTTGTTCCCGAATCAAATTCAAATGTCATAACCGTAGAAAGAAACGTCTGAAAAAGAAACATCCTTCGTGCGCACCCTCCCATGTTCTTGCAGCATCTTTTCGCAGAATCACATAAATACGATATATCCTCAGGAGGAAGGCACAAAAGCGCTTCCTTCTTTATATTTTGGTGCTCCGTGATATTTATATTTTGGCGCAGTGAAAATAGAGTCAGTCTTATTTAAGTCATGTAATTGCTCGGATCCCACAGTTAACCATAATTCAATTTGTTACGTGTTTTTGCTTATATGCAAATGCAAAAACCCATATTGTGATGACTCCGTGTGTGTGTATGTGTGTGTGTGTATGCGTATGTATGTGCGTGCGTATGTGTGTATGTGTGTGTGCGTATGTGTGTGTGTTTGTGCGTGTGCGTGTGTGTTTGTGCGTGTGCGTGTGTGTGCGTCTGTCCGGATATTTCAACTCGGCACTCAAGCAAGCCTCTGCGCCAAAATTTAGCCAGTGGGTTTCCCAACTAAGTGCCACTCTAGGACCGCGGTACCAATCTTCACGAAAGTCTAGGTCCTGCTTACGAGAGGGCCAAAGTTTTGGTGGGAGAATCGCTAACCTGGGAACCAGTAAAGGTAGAAAGCTGAAATTTTGAGATTATGTTTTCCATCCAAATAGGACTCAAAGATTTTGAATTTGGCCTTCGGGTGTGCGTGGCTCCCGCGTACGACCCCGTGAAGTTTCCTGGAGCGAAAATCGTTAACTTTGGAATTAGGAAATCTGGGAGG